ACTTGGTTTTGGGTTATGGAATTGTATTCATCTTTCATGGCTTCTACCAATTGGTTCTTTTCGGAACACGTTATGACTTCTTAGTAAGTTGCAGGCTCATGATCTGGCTCATCCCCAACACTCTCATAGTGTTCCCCCAGGTAGGTTAAGAATTCAGGTGGTCTACTTATTCGGTTACTTCTTCTAGGTTGGGATTCGGGCTCTCAAGACTCAGCCTTGCCACCAGTCATCTCATAGAGATCTGTTTGCTTGTGACTGACTTTTGCTTTGAGGAAATCATCCTTAAAGAAGTAGGCATCTTGGTTCTCATTAACGGCCCTATTTTCGTGGTTGAAGAATCGATATTCCTTACTATGGTCAGGGTAGCCGATGAATGTACACTTGATGGTCTTGGGGTCTAGTTTTGTCCTATTTTGGTATGGGGTTAGGACATGAGCAGAACACCCACATACTTTTAGGCGGTCGAGGGATAGAGTACGATCAGTGGAAATCCTCGCGAGGAGTAGCTTTGGTGGGAGTCTGGTTCAGGATATAACCTCCCGTCAATACTGCTTCTCCCCAAAAGTCTAGGGAGAGCTTTGCATGCCCTATCACACTTCTCACCATTTCTACCAAGGTCCTATTCCGTATCTCGGGAACTTCATTTTGCTCCAGTTTGTAGGGAATGGTATATTGGTGAATAATGCCATGCTCCACACATAGGTTCTTAAAGAATTCGGAGGAGTACTCACTACGCCTATTGGTTCTTAGAACTTTGATGTTCAACTTGTTTGGTTCTCTACCTTGGATTTGTATTCTTTGAATTTTTCTAAGGCCTCGGATTTTGTGTGCATTAAGTAAACACGGCCATATCGCGAGTGGTCATCAATAAATGTGATGAAGTAACTCTTGCAGCTTTTGGTAGCCACATTCATCGGTCCGCAAACATCACTATGGATGATTTCAAGTATGCTAGAAGCTCTTTGTGCCTTGCTGGAGTTTTTCGTTGTAATTTTCCTTGCACACACGACTCACACACCTTTGATAAGTCGCCTTTATAATTTTGCCGAATTCCATCTTTCTTTAGTCTTTTGCATTCTTGTAAATCCTATGTGCCCTATTCGCGTATGCCATAGAAAACCATCCACATCATTCGATTGAATAGAGACTATCTACAAGTAGACCGGTCATGATAATCTCATCGTGGTTTTTCATAATCACCTTATTTTAAGAAGGTGGTGATAAACCCGGCCTTAACTGTTCTTGGGACCGAAACCAAGCATTTCCTCATTTCAGGAGCATAGAGTGCTTGCTTTAGGACCAAAACGTTTCCATTCTTCATCTCAAGAGCATAATCACCAAGACATAGAACATCGGTCTTTTGATACCCCCATGAGTATGTGTTGCTCACTCGGCCCCACGGGTGTAAAAGTGTGGAAGCCATCCTTGGTGTTTGTCACATCAGCCGTAGCTCCTTAGTCAAGACACCAAGATATGCCCTTGGGGTCGGCTAACAAAGTGTTGAAGACCACACATTCAAGTTCTTTGTTAGCCTCAAGGTTTTTGTAGGACCGGCAATCCTTGGCTATCTGACCCGCTCTCTTGCATATGTAACAAGTTCTAGTTTCTCTTTCCCTTATTTTCCCTCTCTTTTCTTTTCCTCCCTCTTCATATTTTTCATTTTACCTTTCCCCTTATTAGGTTTAAAGAAGGGTTGAGATTTTACCATGTACACCACATCTTTTGGTGCTGGTGCGCTACGCACGTTATGCCTCTCCTCTTCAGCTTTGAGCAACGTAATGAGCTTCTCTAGCCTAGGAGCTGTCTCTTGGGCAGCAAGGGATGAGATGAATATCTCCCAAGAAGGAGAGAGAGTATTCAACAGGTGAACTACTTGTATTGGTTCCAGAGGTCGCATCTTGGTCGCCTCCATCTCTCGAACAGGTGCCTTGAAAGTGTGCACATATTCTGATATCATTGTACCTTCGACCATTTTTCAGATTGTTGTACTTCTTCACAGCCATTGATTGACTCTTGAGAGAAGGATGTGCATATTCCTTCTCGAGCAGCTTGTGCATGCCTTTAACAGTTCTTATTGGCTCATACTCAAGATGTGTATGGGTTATTCATGGAACAAAGCAAGATATTCCTTGCACGCATTTTTTTATGCTCCCATTCGGCGTATGCATCTCTTGTAGCCTGAGATGCATCGCTTCGAGGATGATAAGGATTATGCTCAATAAGTATCTCATGCAAACCTTTATCATAAAGCACATGGCCAATTTTGCGCTTCCATGAGGAGTAGTTTGTCCCATCGAATCTTTCTGTCTTTAGGATCTCGAAGATAAAATTGCGTGCAACCATTTTTCTTGTCCCAAACAAAATAAAAGATTCAAATAAAAGAAATAAGACTTCCTAATGGCAGCAAAAAACCTATGATCTAATACCAATGAAAGTTAGACAAGATGAACTAGCATGGTATACGCGGTTTTTACTTTTTTCTCTTTTATACCAACTAGAACACTTACAAAGGTCCAATTACAATTAAATAAATTCAAAATGAACCAAAAAAAATTACAAAAGAGGTTATCACTTATTGCCACTAATAAAACTTATTTTATTCAGTAAACAGAAATCACATAATACTCATGAGAACAAGAAAATAGAAGACTATAAACCATAGAACAAGATAATTGAAGATTACCTCAACTGGACTTTGCACACCTCCTCAATTGGCGCATGGGATTAATGGTCTATCTCATATCTTTAAAGCATGAGAAACCTTGGCCTACAACCCTTGAACAAATATGAGAGCAATGGACCAATGTGCAAACTACAAGCTCTCAATACCTTGTGTATGGGGCACCATAAGCTTGGGGCGTGCCACCTATTGCTACCTTAAAATTATTCTAAGGCAGAGAAGAGAGAGATCTTAGAGAGATGAGAGGGATAGTGACGTGCCACCTAGAGAGAGAAGAGAGGGATAGATGAGAGGTGTAGAGAATGAGCCCCCCTATCTATAGATTTTCTCTAGGGTTAGCCATCCTTATGGAGATTAGATCCAAAGCTGTGGGGTGAGAGTTCTGAGCCATACAATACTTAGATCAGCCATCATGATTCAAAGGAAGGTGCTAGAACCTTATCCTTTAGCTTTCTTAACCTAATCTCATCAAAGAAATAAAATGTGGAAAATTTAATGTTCTTGCGTTTTTTTTTCCATAATCTTCTTACACATCCTTTCTTTGAAAAAATCAAATCTCATAATATTCAAAACTTTCCATATGCTTCTCTTGATTGAGTGCCTTGATGGTCTCATTACAAAAATTAGGAAAGTATATGTAAAAAGAGGGGCGTGCCTCTCATGGTGGCCAAGGGTGGCCCCCACGCACTCCCACATGCACATTTATGGTGGGCCCCACCTCCCATGGTGGAACCTCATAGATAATATGATTTATAAAATTATAAAAATGATTTTTAGAAAAACATAAGTATTTTATCTTTCTCTCTTAATATTAAAGTACTGAAAATTCAGTTTCTCTCTATTTATAAATCCATTTTGAGAAAATGAAATATTCAGAGACTTTTAAAAATTCAAACTATCAATAAAAATTATTTAACATCAAAATAATTAATTCTAAATAATTTATGGGATTCAGACCCAATTAGATCAACGAATTATTAATTTGTTGAAGCACTCCATCTTCTATTGAGGACAATGGTCCACACTCACTTTCTTAAATTGACTCAATGGTTTCTATGACCCACAAACCATCACAAGGGTTCATGATTGGGCCACCAAAGTCAGCCAATAGGTGAGAGGACACAATCCCTGTCAATGGTTTACAGGTTCTCCCTTAGAGCGTGTTTGATAAGTGGGAGTTTTGGGAAGTGGGAGTTAAATGTCCCACTTCCATGTTTGATATGGCTGTGCGGAAGCTGTAAAGGGAAGGGTGGCCTTCCACACAACTCTTTTTTAGTGTTAAAATGAGTTGTTCTTTGGAAGACCTCCCTTCCATAAAAAATGATGGAAGAGTAGTCTTCCATAATTTGTGGAGGAGTCCCTTCTACTCCTAAAAATTCCCTGTGTTAAACGCACCCTTAGAGACAAGTCCAAGGTCACACAGACCTAGTGCAACCACATCTCTATGATGCATAGGGGTCATCTCTTGCACATGTGCACGTATCACTCTCAATGGTGACTCTCTTTTCTAATACAACTATCATATGCACATGCCATGTGATGGTTCAATGATAAGGCTTTAGCCCTCAGCTCTATATGCTACCATCACACACAAGTGTTATACAGTTCCTTGGGTCAGTGCCTTGGGCAACTCCAACCTCATCAATAACCCTGCCAATCCTCCTCGGTTGTACTCTATGCCCAGGTAATTAAGGGTTTTCCAACTCGACTGGCCTAGCATATTAAGCCTAGTTTGAGTATCAACAAATAACTTTTGCCTAGCTCAGTCCAATTGGACCATACTCCTATTGAGATTTTTTTCCACTATATCAAAGTATTGATTACATGCTCTCATAAGGCCTTTAATGTTTAAAAAAACCCAACAAAGTGAACCCTATATTTTATACATATATAAATATATCGTATTTATTTATATAATAAAAAATATTATTAATTAACCTAGGTCTAGACCTGACTAGACCAGATTCACATCCAACTATATTTAGTTGGTTCAGGTCTAGGTTTGGGTCGACCCTGACCCAATCCTACACATTTACACCCCTACATAGATGATTTATAAGCTCTATGAAATTCTATGATCTTTTCTAGCAATAATTAGTTGTTAGCTCAACCATAAATTGTCTGCACTCTGCAGCGGACATCACGTAAGCATTATGCTGATATGCATACTTTTGTTCCATAGGATATATTATATTTTGAACTTCAACTACGTTTTGATGCTTTGTTCAATTTTAGTAGAAAAATCTAAGTGTGGTCTAAAAATATGTTATTTGCAATTTAAAATTGTCAATTGTATTGTTCTAATGTACTAATTTTACAGGCAGAAAGAAGACGTAAACTTGGATTACCACCAGAGGACCCTGTTACTGTTAGACCTGCTACATCTGTTGTTCAGGAAAAGAAGGTCCATTTGATCTTTGATTTCTAGCTCATTTCATTTTAAATAATATTTAATGATTCTTTTTGTACTTTTCTTTATTGATGCACCCACTTTTCAATGGGAGTATAGAGTTCGTTGCCTGTGAGACCAGCTTCTAAAGCAGAGCAAATGAGGGATTGTTTACGGTCACTGAAGCATAACCATAAGGTATTTCACAGTAAATCTGAATTTCTTTTATTTGTTGCCTTTCTTAATGTGTTTTTAATAGATCTAGTACCTGTCGATTGGCTGCTAGATGAAACTTTTTAATACTCCAACATATTGTGATCCAGTCTTAATAACTTACTGAGAATATTTGGAACTTTTTTCCTTACTAGGTTTAGAATAGCTATGAACGCTTGGACAAGAGTTCATGAGCAGTCGGGCATCCATTCTCTTAGGATATATGAACATTCATACAATCATCAGTGAGAAATTTAATCCTCTACATTTTAAGGCTAGAGCTACCTTAACAATGCGGAAGGGGATCAGGCATCTGTTTTAGGTCTTCTATATATTGGGATCTGTGGGCATTTAAAGGCCATTAGCTCTTAGTTTTCTTACATTCTGCCCTCGATGTTTTATCCGAGTATATATCTTTTTTTTTTGTTTTGGTAATTCCCTGTTCAGTGGTAGTATTGGGTTCTATGTGATTTAGAGCAGTTTATGACATATCATCTTGAGCGGGCTCAGTTAGCAGGCTGTGTGTGACTTATAGCAGGCTGGGAAAATGTTAGTGTACTCTTGGACTCTTGCCTTGGTTTTGCAATCTAGGGCTTTGACTTATAGATTGGATTTGCACCATAAGACTGGTTTGGGTTTTTCCCAAGATGCATATGTTGAAGAGAATTTCACAGATGCCCTGTCAAAGCGGTTGAGTTCACTGGTGGTTTAAGGCTTATCAGTGAACTGATGCATAGGCCCTTTTGTGAAGAATAGAGCATGCAAGGAAAATGGCCTTAACCTCTATAATGTCATTCAAAGGCATGCACACCTGGTTTTCAGATTGACGTGCTCAGACTCTCGGATTTGATTAGCATGAGCATGTGCTAGAGAGATGAGCCTCACTACATGTATTGGTACCTAATATCGGTAGGCAAAAGCTGTTGTGGATATTTTGGCTACACATGACTTGTCTTTGAGGAGTACCTTTCCAATCTTAGGTGAGCTTATAACCCATCTTTCTTGGTTGACTTTGATGGGCCAATCATGAGCACCTTGTGTGAGATGACTTGTGGGTTCTGGGTCCATTTGGTTAGTTTGAGGTTAGGCAGTGGTTATATGTGTTATCTTGGAGTGCCTAGTAGAAATGGAACTTTTCATCTCATGGCATGCTCAATGTTCTAATGAAATCCTTTCAAGCTTCTCCAGGGTTTTTTAATGAAATAAAAATGATTTTAATTTCTCTACATAATCGCGTTAAGTTGTGTGAAGGGAATTTTGTTTTAAAACAAAGTTATTCTTGGAATAACAAATAAGTTTTGAAACAAGGACTATTTTGGGATTAGTATTTTTTTTTCAGAAGGGGAAAATAGGGTGATTAGAAAAACCTCCTAAGAGAACATGAGAGACACGGTCTTGTTGACCTTGGTGTGCCATGCAGCTTTCTTGGCAGAATCACATGGACCCCACTTGTCTTGAGATGCCACATGGCATGCTATCCATGAAAGAAAGACAGATACAAGCTTGAGACTCATGGAGTATGCGTATTACCCTAAATTGAATTCTAAGAGAGATATAACTACAAAATGGTGAAAGATGATAAAAAAAGAATTAATTTTTTGCTGCAAGTTTTTATTTTTTTTGGGAAAACCATAGTTGGATTATAGTTGGAATTATGAGGTTCCTAATTAAATTGAACTTTAAATTTTAAAGTCTAATTAGAACTGGAATTTCTTTTGTAAGCTTCCAAAGGACATTCTTTTGTAAGCGTCCAAATATAGTTGAACTAGAGTTAGAAGATTAAAGGGATGCGCCCTAATGGGGATAGGATGTGTTTTTCGAGTCTTGAACATGATGGCTGATCAAGGGATCGGCAACTTGGATCAAGCTTCTCTCACTCCTTATGTTTCTACTTCAAAAGGAAGGCAAAATGCTAAATTGCAAACTAGTCCTTGCCCATGTCCAAATGAAGGCACCTTCTCCTCCAATAGCAATCACATGATTTCCTTGAGGCACAAAGACCTTGACTAAGGGAGAGCGGTTTATAGAAGGCTTGATGGATTTTGGGTGTTTTTGGAAAAAGGGAGAGTTGAGGAAAGAGGATGGTGCTTGGAGAGTGTGCAGGTTGAGTTTTGTGATTCACAAGAGAGAGAGAACTTTGTGACCAGTGAACTTCATCTACTCTCTGCAAATCAGCAATTAATTCACCTCTGTATTTTGCCTTCTTATTGGGTGTAAAATTGATCTGGGAAGCAATAAATTGGTGTAAGAAGTCCTAGGGGTGACTCCAGGCCCAAATCCAGGTTGTTTTTTTCATTTTTTTGGTGGAATTTAACTGTTTTGGAGTACCTGTCTCAGCAAGCCTTCGTGGTGCAAGGTGCACTTTTCTGCTTCTTTGTTTTTTAGGCTAGTTTCTTGCTGTTAAATTTTAGAGCAGGCACATGTAAGGTCTGGTGTATGTAGGGGTTTTGTTGGAAGGTGTCATGTTTGTTTTCTGCTGAAATTGTTGGAAATTTTTTAATTTGAACCTTGTATCGCTACCACTACACATATATATTTTGCCCTTTTAAGCTTTTCCTATTACCAAGTAGGGAGAATATACTATTGCCTTGGAATGGGTTGCTTTTGCCTTGGGGATGAACTGAAACAGATATGATGTCACGGCTTCCAAATGTTCAATAGTACTCGTCATTCCCTATTGAAAGAGTGTAATAATGAGAATCCTTCCTCTTGCAACTCTTGCCTACAATTGCTTTTGTATGTGGTCCCTATGCAAAACCTTGGAAAGTATCTCTCAGAAGTCAAAGACAAAAGACAACAGACTGTACCTACATCCTTCCAAAATGGGTCCTCATGTGCCCCTCAAAAGTGCACACCCTGAAAGACTCCATGGCATGAACAGCCGATGAATAGCTGGCATCTCCGTTGGTAGTGGCAAGCTGATGTGCTCTTTCCCTAGTCTTCTTAGCTACTTGCCAAAGCAAGGCTGGTTTATTCACTACCCATTAATCACACGTGGCTCATAGCTTGCATTTATTGTAGAAGATTGAAGTAGACCTTTACAAGGGAAATATTTCGACGACAGCTTCTTAATTAAGTGATGCTAGCGTATTTACAAAGTTGAAAAATATGTTTGTCCCATATAGCATGTAGTAAAGTGTGCCTCCACGATATTAATGTATTTGGGATGAGGAAAGTGAAGAACACTATGCTGCATGAAGACTACCACTACTCTGGGGTTATTTAAGTGGAACTGAAAGTGCTTAAAGATGAAAGCTACTGGACTTGTTGATCAGTGGTTTGGATAATTATGTGGTTGGCATATAATGAGCTAATTCATATGTCTCACAAGATCCATGAAATGCTTGTTTGGGCTTGAAGACCTGTGATTTTACAACCAGGTGATGATGACATGGCTATTGAAGTGTATTAGCTAGAAATCTTTCCAGCCAGATAACAATGGGTCCAGCTATTTATTTCATGGCTAGTGGGCTTCCCTGTTATTTACTTGGCAAGAGCACATTGGCCTTACACATGCACACAGATATTCTCTAGTTTTATTTTTTTATTTTTTCTTTTTTTCATTTCTATGCTTTGCTGACGCACACACATGCAAACACACATAGGAAAAGTGTTCCGTTCACTACAGGATGCAGGTCCCACGTATGCGTCCCTTGACGCATCAACCATCCATCGTCTGAAAGATGGATGTTTGGTAATGGTGGTCAGACCAAAACCTAAAATGGAAGGCCTCGGAAACATAAAAAAATATCATTGTTTATCTTCAAATTTTTTTTTATTTTTTTATACAACTCTGCCATGGCTGGTCCCAAACAGGCCATGCCGGTCCCAAGCCCGGATGAAGGAGGAGGGTTGTGTTAGGTAGGGCAGCCAGTGTAAATTGCCACATCTTTTCATGAAAGCTGACCCAAAATAGTTGGGATAAGGTTGAGATGATGACAATGATTATTATTTTCTATTTTGTATATTCATATTTACCATGGTTGAAATTCTCAACCCCTAAATTTTTGTCTCCGAAATCCATTTCTAAGTTTTATTAGAAATGGATTTTGGAGGACTCATGTAAATAAGATGAGATAGAGACCTCATGAAAACCTTATCCCACCCCCCAAAACACATACACACACACACAATTAACAACCCCTGAAAATATCAAGGTTAATGTTATAATAGATTGTGACGAATAAATTTATCAAATATGTGGTTTCTTTTCCAAACAAAGTTACCTTTTATGATAGCTTGCTCGTTAAGGATACCTATGTAGTTATCACTAATAGACAATGGCTATTATTTTCTTTTTTAGAAAGATATGTTGAAATTTTCACTAAAAGACAAGGGTTTTTGTATTAATAAAGTTACGGAACATTTATTTTCAAAATGCCCTTTTTTCTAAGAATTTCTAATTAACCCTTATTACTTAATCATTACTTTTTAACCAAAAAGAAATGCCAGTTCTTGTTAGATACATCCATCACAACCCATATTAATAGTGGTGTCTAGAGCGGGCTTCTGAATTGGATTTGTTGTTTGAGTTTACGCTCAATATTCTTTAGTGTGGTTGCTCAAATTCTATCTTTTCCAATTTTTTCGTGTATGGATAGCATGGATACTTTTCTTTTAGATATATAATATTCAAGCTTACCTTTGTGAATTTCATTAAATTGTGACCACGGCCTTTTTGATTCTTGTCATGCTCCAAAAAAAAGAAAAATCATAATAATAATGTTTTCTTATGAAAAATTGCATCTGTAATAAATTTTTGGATTTTAGGGCTATCTGCCAATCGTAATGAATCCGGGATTCTCTCTCAATATAACAGAAGTCACATTTCTTTCATGGATTATATAGTTTGACGCACCCTGAGACACTGCTGTACAAATGACTTGATCTCTGAATTATGCATTTACTACCAAATTTGGACAGATAAAGGGGTATCACCGTAGTCAGTCTTAAGTGCTGAAACTTCCACCAAGGGTCTGAGGCAGAGAGGGATGGAACTTGGATTCATTGAACATGTTATATTTTTAATGTCATACTATTAATGAATTTGGAGGATAAACTTAGATTATGGCCATAACTACAATTTATTGATCTTTCATATTAGTACACTGTACACCCATGATTTACATGTTCCTTGAGTTCTTTCTTTAAATTGAATAATCTTTTTGCGAGAGATAGGATGATGATGCCAAAGTCAAGAGAGCATTCCAAACATTATTAACCTATGTTGGTAACATAGCAAAGAACCCCAATGAGGAGAAGTTTCGGAAGATTCGACTAAGTAATCCGTCATTTCAAGTAAAGCTCTCTTTCTCTCTCTCTCTCTCTCTCTCTCATGTGTGCATGCATTAACTTGATTTTTATGCTCTTGTATTTGCTAACAGGATAGAGTTGGGAGCTTGAAAGGTGGAATTGAATTTCTGGAGCTGTGTGGGTTTGTGAGGACCGAGGATAGTGAATATTTGTTTCTATCTGTGGAGAAGGTGGACATGGCAATACTGAACACAGCAGGGTCAGAGCTTAACTCCGCTATTGTGAATCCCTTCTTTGGAGTTCTATAAGTGGAGAAGCTATGTGGGATTCCCTTATTATCATTCTACAAGATCTCAAAAATTGAGGATGATTATGGCCAGCATGGGGATCCTGTGCTTCGATTGGACTATAAAATACAGTATGTTTTGTGATCTTAATTTTTCTTTCGTGCTCTGTGTTTTTTTTTTTTTTTCTCTCTCCCCAGCCTTTCTTCTGGTAATGTCCTCATGTTTCTTTTAATTGGCACTTGATTGTGCTGCTCTAATGGATATGATGAGAATATATCAGAAAGTCCGTACTTTCATGTAGTTGTAGATACTTTGTGAGGATAGGTTAGTGTGTCCGAATCCACAGCCTCAAGATTGCATCAAGAACTTGTGTGGCTTCAAAATTGAGAAAGGAATTTACGCCTTTAAAAATCATATGAATTTGTAAGACATCTTACATTTCAAGTTCAATGTGGTAATAGAATAGGCATTTGCAAGTGAATCTTATGCATATTGGTGGTCTCAAAGAATTATCGATGTGCTGATATTTCTCGAACATTGTATTATGAAGTGTTGCAAGGATGTGTGCTTCTTGTGGATCGTATTGAGCCAATTTTCATTATAATTTGGTTTGCCAGAAGATTTTAGAATGCCAAAGTTTTGGTGATGTAGCCTCTTCAATTTATAGTCAATTATTCTCTATATGTTTGAAAAAAATAATGCATCAAGATTAAATAGAAACTGTCCAATTTTTGAGGGGTGAGATTCAAGTCTTAGAGACTCAAAATTTGAATTTTTTCTTTTGATTTTTAGGTGGTTCTTAAAATTTTGAATTCACAAGTTAGCCTTTTGCTCGAGAGAGTAAGCGCACAGAATGTGCATCCACAGGGCATAGCATGTGCATCCATTTGATTTAAAAGAGACTATAAAGGAATAGTTGTCTGGGACTAGCTGAACTTCAATGAACCATTGGCTTAAAATCGTTCATGCGTCGTTACCAAGGTTTTTAAAAATGGATCTGTGACCTGAATCATCCATCCAAAAAACTGGGTCAGAATGGCGGATCAGTGGTCTGGATCCAAGAATCGGCCTGATATGCTGAATTTGGCCTTAAATGTTTTTCAAATAATCAATAAATTTTCTTAAAAATTTAGGTTTTTAGACTTTAAAAAAATAAAAAAAATAATGGTATTGAATTATAGTTAATTATTTTTACAAAAAATATGTAAATATTGAGAACCTGTATCTTGTTTTAGTCTTTGTTGTCTGTTAGTTTCAATTCACAGTCAATAATTCATCTTCCTTACCTTAGTTATCTACATGAATAAATAAATTTGACAATAAAAACCCACACGGAGAATATTTTTCATGCCTTCTAAATCAATTTAAAATATATAAAAAGTACATTCTTGTGACCCTTGGGAGAATGGTTTACTTCTAATCTGGTCTGACTACCTATTTGGGGGGAATTTTCAATTTGGAAACCGTTTTTATTCAATCTTGAGACATTATTTTTTTCGAGTACGTAGAACATGTGCTTGCAAAGATTTTCTCTCTAGAACAACAAAACATCAAGAGAACACCTTTGTGGCATGCATATCTTTTCTCTCCTGCAATATACTTATGGAAAGCACACTTCCTAAGGTTCTCTCTCTAGAGTAACAATGCAGGGCCGTCTTTACAAATTGAGTGAGTTTGTTTTATAGTTTTGTTCGTATTTTGTATTTAAAAGATTACTTAACGTTGGTGAAAAGATTGTATGAGTAAGGAGAAACCTATAGGATATAATTCCTAATTACTTGAATTGATTTCAATGGAGTTTTAACTTAGATATACTTGCTGGAAATTTGATTTGGGTTTGCTTAGATAAGGTTTACGACAAATTGTATTTTACTTTCGAGTTTGTTTTGTTTTCTTGTGTATGCGGATGATATGATCTTAATGTGTCAGTTTTAGAGTATTGAATAGAATTTACAACAACCTATTTTGGATTTGAAGTTATTGAATTTATGGTTAAAACCCCATTTGCATGTTAATATAACTCTATTTGCTTTATGGAAAACTAAAAGATCCGCTGCAATAGGAAGAGAGGTTAATGTAGGGGTGGCAACGGGCTGGGTGGCTAGACCATAAAAAACTACGGCCTATGCTACAAATAGTGGCTCGAGGCTTGGGCCTGGATTGGGCCAAGAGATGCCCAGCCTGGTTCGGTCTGGCCTTTCTTTTTTCAATAATTTTTTTGCTTTCTTCCTGTAATATTAGCTGGTATGACCTGGCTCGGCCCGGCCTTAATGGGTCAGGGTCGAGCATAGGCCAGCCCTCAAGGGAATAGGGCATGGCTAGGGCCAGTGCTGGCCTGCCCCAGGCCCGGCCCATTGCTAGCCCTTGGTTGATGGAAGAAAAATACAGGGAAAGTCAATATTTGAAGAAATATAAATAAAAAGAAAATGCAATATAACAGGAAAAAATGAAGACGAAATATTAGAAAGAAAGTACTGATTATGTCGGAGGGAGAGAGGCCGAGAAGGGGGATGGTGTTGAAACAAATGAAGGTCTAGTTTTGTGGGGGAGAGAGAGCGAATGATTCTCACCACGTTTTGAGATCAAAGTGAACACAGTCGCCTGCAATAGTCGCGTGACAAGGTGAAACCCCCGCAGACGGCAATAACCTTCGTTACCTGCGTTCCTCGCTGAGACGTCGAGGATACACCTACGGACGGTGATGAGTAGCATCATCTGCAAATCTTGTCGAGAGATAGAGATGCGCAAACAGAAGGGAAAAAGGAGCTCGCGCATGGCGCTGCCATCGCCATGCGCGACCTGTTAAACCACAGGAAGGGGAAAAAGAAGAGAAAGAGGCATGCACGGCATTGCCACTGCCGTGCATGGCCTCTAAGGGAGGCTCAGACGAAGAAGAAGAAGAAAGAAAAGAAGAGATAGAAGATTTACCTGAGCTTAAGAGTACTAGTCAAAAGTTTCTCTCTTTACTCTCTCTCTCCAAACATGACCCAACAATGAGAAGGAAAGGGAATTCTATTAAGTAAAAAGTCTCTTTGGTGAAGGATTTCAAGCCTCTTTTGCGTACAATGATGGTACATAGCATATATAGAATTGTGCCCAAACATGAGTGGATGATAAAAATTAAACCTAAATGTTGGAAATTAAGATTTAACTAAATAAAAAAAAATAGAAAATAGGGTGCAAAATGAAGTCGAAAATCTGGGCCTGTCAGTTGAGGAAGGTTTTAGGTGAGACGATCTCATGATGAGACATTACCCTGAAGTCTCTGGCAGGTTAGGCCCTGGGTTCATCAATTTCTTGCCTTCGTGGGGATCTTTAGCATCTTGGAGGGATCTTTTGGTCGTCGTTCTCACCCTTAAGGACTCTTGTTGTTTTTGAAGGTAAAGTGTGGGAGATCTTATGCGGCTCTCATTCCCGAGTGAGCCATTTTGTGTTGTGATTGGATGCTGGCAGTTGAGGATTTTAGGTGGAACTCGTTAGCAAGGATAATGACTGTTTGGCAATTGTGTGTTGGCTGAGGCTGTGGTGTTGTGTCAACCTGCTTTGTTGGTCCAAGTGTCTTTTGTGGGTTTTCACTTGAACAGGGGAAGTGGTGCCGTGAAGACGGTTTTCACCAACTTCCTTTGTTTTCGGGCTCTTTTACTCATGACCTTGCGGCCATGTCCACCCTTTTTTATCCATTTTTATTCACGGTGCCCTTTGGGGTTTTCACCATGCACGGGTTTTTGTTTTCACAGAACTCTTTTACTCATGATTTCGTGGCCATGCCCGTCCGTCATTTTTACTCATGGTGTTCCCTTGTTCAGATGTACACCAAGCCTGTTTTTTTTTTTTTTGTGAAGACGTGTTTAGGGTCATGCATTCGAGACATGTGCGAAGCTTTTTACTACCATGCGGCCAAGACATGCACTATAGTTTAGGGTCATACAGCTGGACAAGAGTAGTGAAGAATAGAAGTCTTTGGAGGCCATGTAATGAGTATGATAGTGGTTTTGACTCACTTTGGAGAGATGGCATGAGGCTACCTATGAAAGATGGAAGGTGTATGAATGGTGAGTGAACAATGGTGACCCACTAGCTGACGGTGAGTATAGATGGCGAGATGGTTCGCCATTTTGTGAGCATGAGTGAGACTCATTGGAGAATGATGAATAATGGTAGTGAAGTGAATGGATTCACCGGGAAAGCAATGAAGGTGGTGCACACACACGAATGGGTCGGTTAGGGAAAGCGTGTGTGAAAATGCACGTAAAAGGGGGTGTGCACGTATGTGGGGGCAAGTTTAAGGTCGTTCCTCCGAGAACTATGCAAAGCAGTTTAACGTCATACGGCTAAGACATGCACTATGGTTTAAGGTCATATAGCTTGGATCGTGGTTATACGGTTTAAAGTCATGCAACTAGGACCAGGCAGTTTAAGGTCGTACAACTAGATCTTTGCTACATTTTAAGGTCATACAGTTTGGACCATGATGTTGATCCTTTTAATGTCATGTAGCTATGACGTAGACTATGGTTTATGGTCATATAGTTCGGACCGTGGCTATGCAGTTTAAAGTCATGCTGCTAGGACTAGGCAGTTTAAGATCATGCAACTAGACCTTCGTTATAGTTTAAGGTCATATAGTTTGGACCAGGGCTATGCTGTTTAAAGTCATACAGCGCGGACCATGGTTATGCAATTTAAGGTCACTCAGCACAGACCATGGCCGTGCAGTTTAAGGTCATGCAGCCCTGACCATTGTGTGGGTGGCCATGTAGGTGAAGCTGCATGGGAAATATGTATGTGGATAGCAATTTGACTCCCTGGGAATAAAGATAGTTGAGGCTATACACAAGTAGAGAGATTTAGATGAAGATGGTGGCCAAGTGGAAGCTGACTTCATCGGGGATTAAGAGGGTAAGTGTGACTCCTGGGGCTAATGAGTAATGATGTGCATGTAACTCTGCCGAGAATGACATGTCAGAGTATAGATGCAACCCTATTGGAGGTAGTGGGTTGCAATAGGGTGTGACTCCTACTAAGGTGTTGGTGTGAAACAGACCCACTGGGGATTGAAGGGGTAAGTATGACTCCCTTTTTCTTTTGCATATGTCTAATTCCAGTGGGGATGTTGATGGAATACACCTAGAGAAGGGGTGCATCCATTTCATAGTTTTAAGTCATGCGTGTGGACTATTTATCGTGTTGTTTATCATTTTACTACAAGGATGTACGCTACAGTTTTAAGGCCTTGTAGCTCAAACCATGGCTACACAGTTTAAAAGTCATGTGGCTAGGACCATGCAATTTTAAGGTCATGCAACTAGACTTCCACTACAGTTTACGGTCATATAGTTTGGACCATGCAGTTTAAGGTCGTGCAACTAGACCATGGCTGTGCAGCTTAAGGTCATACGGCAAGGACCAAAGCTGTGCAGTTTAGGGTCATATAGCATGGACCCTTGTATGGGGAGAATGTGACTCCAGGGGGAATAGAGTCGTAATTGGGAACTTGACTCTTGGAGGAATGAGGCTGGGGTGCAGGGAATGAACTTCTTGGAGATGCAAGACGAAGGTCCAGATGGGAGTGTCGT